TGTTGGGTTTGGGTTTTTACTCGTAAACGAAAGCCTATTTCCAGTCAGTAGGAGCTCTGTCACAGGAAAAACTTGCTTTAACTTTCCAGAATTTAAAAAAAAAAAAAAAAAAAAAGTAAAAAACCCTGTAAGATTTCTTCTGTCAATACTAAAGTTGGGGCATTTAAGTGCTTATATTTCACTGGAAAGCTAAAGGTTGTCTCCTGTGCCAACTATCAGAAGCCCAACTGCTTGTGTACATTCCCCTCTGGTGGCGACTAGCAAATACTGCAGAAAACAACAAATGCTGCCAAAGGTGCAAGGATTAAATGGAAATTAAAAGTACTTCACTGAAAAAGATCTTTATTTTTAATTGTAAGGCTTGAAATGTTCTAGAAACAATTAGCTCATTTAAACATTCTTCAGCGGTAGGTAACAACTTCTCTGCTTAACCTCACCTTCCTGTTATTTATTTTTTATATTACATCAACTCTCTTGCCAGGATCAAGGTCCTTTTGCCCTGGCAACGCATACTTCAGCAATATTTCTGGCTTGCTTCTTCACACGCATAACCGATATTAAATTACAGCACTTAAAGCTACCCAGCAGGGATTTTTAAAAAAATAAAGCATAAGCCAGGGTAAAGTAGCTGGATGCAAAGCTGCTGAAAAGGGAAATGAAAATTTGCATTATTTACTGCATATTTAGAAAAAAGGGCAATCTTTTCAGTGGGAAAATGAGAACTTTGCCTTAACAAATTCTGAAGGTTTTTCAAAGCAACTGATGGAGGAAGTTCAAGGTGTTCAAGGCCAGGCTGGACGTGGCCTTGGGCAACCTGGTCTAGTGAGAGGTGTTGGAACTCTATGATCTTCAAGGTCCTTTCCAACCTAAACCATTCTGTGATTCTATGAATGGAGGATGTGCAACTGCAGGCAGACATCAGGAACAGATGGTCCTTTTTTTCAGCAAAGGTTTTAGAGGTAAAGTGAAAACCATTAATTAAAAACTGCATGACTATGCAATATATCATCAATTACTCGATATTCTTTTTCAGAGAGTGCCAAATGTCTAGTCTCTAAAAGGGAAAAATCTTAGGATTTGCAGGCCAGTGGGGATCTTCTCTCAAGAGCAGAAAAAGAGAGAAGGTCAGCATATTTCAGGATAGGAAAACAGAAAATCTTTAAACACCAAACATCCAGCTTTTCTGCAAAATTCCTTATATCCTTACAGATGACATCAGGAAGGACACTCTTTAAGGATTTGTTCAATAATGAAGAGTTAGGAAAATACAGAAGTAGTCTCTCGAAAAAATCTTGTGACAGTGAATTTCTGCATCACAAAGGAGTAAGGAATGGTCACCAGCAAGTTACTTTGAGGATTATTCAGATAAGCAAACTGAAAATGCTTGTGTGCTATATCGTTAGGTACATCTAGAGGCTTGAGAGAGACTCAAACTGCCCCACTGTCTATACTCAGGGTCACGTAAGTGGACTAGAATCCTCTTGGAACAGCATGTTGTAACCTGAAATGTAGAAACTAGGTCTTCAACAGGAAAAAAAAGCCCTAGAAAGTGTGTCATCAAGAGACAGAAAAGATCTAAACTCACAGGACCTGCTATTGCAGAAAGCCTTACAAGATATCTGTATCCGCACACTTAAAAAGGCTAAGAAAAGCAGAACAAAATGCTTGTTCTCCTCAAGAAGGGTGAAACTTACAGACAAGCAAAACCAGTATTTTAAAATTACTTTGTAACTCTAGCTCTTCAGTCCCTAAACTACACAACTATTGTCTATATTGAAATATGTAACTTATACATAGACAGTGCAAAGTACAGAGCCTAATCAAGACATCTCCTTTCACCCTAAATGTTCGATGTATCTGACAACTGCCTCCCCAGCAGCAGGAACCTCATTGCAAAGAGCCCCTGTGTTGAGGCCCCAGTTATACTGCTGATACCAGAAGATGGGGCATTTAATTGCTGCTTGAGGTAGCACTGAACTCACTTCACACACTGACGTCTCCTTGTGTCTCTCCAGTCCTTCGTCAATACCTACCCCTGTGCTATTCTCCCACCCCTACAACTTCAGAAATTACTTAATAGTAAATCCCTCCCCATCCACCTCTTGGGCTCCTGATGCTTATACATCACTTCCACCTTTTCTTTTTCCACAAGCTAGGACTCTATACCTTCCTCACTTGTTCTTGTCTTTCCAAAGAGCTTTTCCAGAGGTTTCCATTTTTCCGCGCTCATGATTACCTGATACTATACACCTTAGGGTCAGCTACGGTCAATATGAAGTCACGAAGGTGACACAGCCTGTTCTGTTTAGCTGTGCTTGAGGTTTCACACCTCAAAATTCATTTTCAAGCATTTTCTCTCTCCAGAAGTCCTCTGTACCTTTGGAGTTGAAAAGGGTCTTCAGGTGGTACTTACCGAAATACTGTCCTGGTGCCACCTGTCTTGGTCCTTGCTAGGTCTCTATCTCACCGTGGCCACCAACGCTTCTGTCTACAAAAGCCAACACTACAGCTATTTGCTCTCTTGTGAGGTATACACAAGCATCTAACACTTTGTCAGTCAGTCTCAGACTGGGCAGATCCAATGTCCAGTCTGGACTCTCACAACCCACATTTACCCTGGCAGTGTGCAGCTTTCTTCTGCTACGTACATCATCCTCTCGATCCTATGGACTGTGCCTGGACCCTGCAAACACTCTTGGGCTCTTGTTCAGGGAGGGCAGAGGTGCTGTAGCTGGAAGGGTGGTGACGAGGAGAACTCTCCTAATCTCCTGCTGTATCTGCAGCTGCTTTATATTATGCCAGTTACCAACAGAAGTTGCAACACTACAGGCTTTCACTACCCTGTGCAGGTAGCATTCACAAGTAAATAACAATTAACCATGTCCTTGCTGTGTGCCCTGCTGTTAAGCAGACAAGTTTTGGTCTGCTGTGCTGTCCCTGGACCCTCCTGAGTTGTTCTTGCTCTGGCCAGGGGCAGCATATGGAGAGACTTTTAAGCACAGAGAGTTTTTCAGATGTTCTGAGCTGCTGGCAGAGTCAGACATGGATGTGGCATATTGTTATGGACTGTCTCCTAGCCACAGTTAATGTGAACCTAACTGCTTTCACTGAGATAGCTGTGGTTCAGCTCACTTAGCAGTACAGTTATAAATAATAATTATTAATATTTTTATTATTATTTCTCCTTCTTCTGTCCCTGTGCCATGTTACGCACATGCCTACTTTCCTACTGAGTATGTCTCTTCTTAATAAAACATCCACCATTTCCCCTTGCGGGAAAGGGGTCTATATAAGTCTCGTTTTCTCCTCTCTCCTCCTTTTACTCACTTTCATGACTTTCATTCGAAATGTCAACAATTTAAACTACATTGCCATAACAGGCAGAACAAAAAAGTGTAGTGATATGCTGCATGTGGCTAAAGAATATTGTCAGGCAGTCCATTGACTTATAGAAATCTTACATGTTTAACTGGCAAGATGAGCTGGATGTGCTAACCAAGGTGCAAAGCTCAATCTGCAGCCAGCTCCTGATTCATTCTTTGTTTTTCTATTTTCAGCAAAATCAGAAGACTACTGTCTTCTGTCTGCTGGCCCACAATTACTTTTTCATCAGACATCCATTTAACCATTGTTATACTTGCTTGGATCAAAATACAGAACCGCATGTTGGGACCTATCACGTTGCACACCAAACTTTCGCCGTATTAAGTATGACCCTCAAATCCCCATGTCATTTTGGAGCTTAGTAACACATTGAATAAAGTCTATGCATAGCATAACCAGTCAGTTTTCCACAGGCATAAAAACTCCATTTGAAACACATCAGACTCTTCCTTTTGGAGAGAAATGGCAGAAAACAGCTTTGGGGAGAACTATTTAACAGATTTTCTTTCCAAACACTCATTTCTCTCTCCTTCCTCCTCAGAGTTTTCTCCCTTAGTTACAGGGTAATGGTATTCTTCAACCAGCTAGTACAAACTTTCCATGAAGATACCTCACTACACCAAGTCCTCCAAATATACGTACTTTCTAGCTCTTCCTGTTTGTAATCTATCAGGATTACAGGTCTGGATTTTGTTTTGGAGCACTACATTGCAACTAACATTGTTAAGCTAGGTTATTGTTCTCATGTGCAATGAGCAGTCCAGAACAGTGCCTCAGTGAATCTCAGGATAACATTTATGTTTTCCTTTATTACAACTCTTCACTTACCATTTAAGAGAGAGGAGTTGAACACAATCATCAAGTTCTTCAACTTTGTGAATTCCAAAGATTCACAAAGGTACATTTTCGAAACAGCTTAGAAAAAGCCATAGGCAATGACCCTGTTAAAGGGAGGGGAAATTAACAAAAACAGTCTGGAAGGCAGTAAAAAATTGAATGTTTTATCCTTTCATCCCAGCTGCAAAACAAATATTTCAGTCCTGTGACCCTTCATGTAGAACCTGTGAGAAATCTCCTGACATATGTACTTCATGCCCAGAAGGTAAGAGACTTCAGCTTCTTTAGGTAAGTTTTGCAAGAGTCTAGAATATTCTGTATCCTACACACTTCCATTTCCGTCAATAGTCACTAGAAAGTTCTTTGACAGCTTAAAGCATAGGCAGGTAATCAGATAATCACCAGACGAAGTCAGGTTATCAGCTAGGAATTAAGAACAAGCCCTTGGCAATACAGCTAAAAAAAAATTGTTAGGTGGATGTTGCTTTTCTGTCTTTTCAATCAAAAGTTGTAGACATGATGCAGGAATTACTGAATAGGGATTTATTCAGGAAGATGTACTAGATAATCCCAATGATTCCTTCTAACCTTAAATGTCAGTGAAGGTTAAGCAAACTACTTTGGGAAATGGATTAAAGGATGTTTTATTCATGTTTTTAAGCATCAAAAAGTCATATTTTGAGGAAGTTAGAAGCTTTTTTTATAGTCATCCAAGGCAGAAATCTTTTAAATCTATTTCTAATTAGTGCCTTTCTCCACCTGCGTTGCTCTTTTGCTAGGAAAATTTCTTATCCACGATACCTGCATTTTTCCGTGCCCTCAAAAAACTTTTGGAAATGTTGCAAGTGGAAAGTGTGAGATGTGCATGGACGGCTGTGAGGTGTGCTCTGACTACTGGCACTGTCAGAAGTGTCAGGCTGAACAGGACCAGCTGCTCTTCCTCCACAAAGGCAGATGTTTACAGGAATGTCCTGAGTAAGTAACTCCTGTTGGATGCCTGCTCCTTATTTTCTCTCTGTGCTCCTTCTCTTTATATAAACCTTTCAAGTGAGCCCTTAATGTCCCTTAAGGTAGCCCTTAAGGTAGCCCCTAAGCTGCCAGAAACTACCACAAGGGAAAAGCCATTTTCAGCCGGCCTGAACAAACGGCATTATCTTTTGCTTAGAGAAAACATGAAAAATGAAAAGTGAAACTAGCTCTGAAATCCTATGATGGATGGAACAGCTCCCATTGACTTCATAGGACCATGGTACCTCAGGAAAGTTCTTTATGGCAACTGTAAATCAGCCTCTAGTCATTTTCCTAACATGTTCCTTCCTCAAAGTAGTACAGAGCAGGGGTGTAAAACTAGAAAGTGGCTGATCAGAGTCCTGATATGAAAATATTTTTTTTGTAATAAGCAGAATTCAAAAAGAAAGATTCCAATTTGACTGCAATGGATATTAGAACAGGCACTTGAGTAGATCAGGCTCTCCTCTTTCCATGCTTTTTTCATCAGCATTCATCATACGTACATACACACATGAAATCTGTGCTATGCACTATGAAGATCTTGCTTGGTTAACCCTTTTCTTTAGAAAAATGTGCAGGTCCTGCTTTTCTTAAGATCAGTACAAATTCTCTGGCATTGCTTTTCTGCTAACTTTGTCAAATAAGTCAATAAAGGCCTGTGGAACAGATTCTGATCATCAAATGTCAGAGTAAATGCAAAGTAATTGCACTAAATCCTACCCTTTTCCAGAAAAAAACTTTAATATCAGAGGTTGTGGCATACAAGCAAAGATAATGTTTTGGCATTAACACATTCCTTCTCAGTAGTCATTCCCCACAGTTATCCCACACAGGGTTAGTATAAGAAAATTAAACCTCTTCATATATTACTAGTCTTTTCAGCTGTTACTATTTCCCTTTTTTCCGAACTCCAGACTATAAATAATGCCTCCGTAGATATCATTAGACAAAGTCCACCAGAGTTAAACTCTGGTTTCAGCCTCTGAGGCAAAGTTCTTGAGGCATAACTACTCTCCACTGGAGCAGACAATTATGTAAGATTTTTTTTTAGTTGGTTTTTCATTTGGTTTTTTTTTGAGTTTTGGGACATGCTGTAGGGGATGGAAAGCGTTGACTTTGTGCACTGATAATTTCTGACAGAGGATTTTCAGAGATTGGGCTAGCTGACTACTCAAGACTGGACAAAAGAAGAAGACAGAACTGTGAGAAATAGATGGAGGACCATGACAAAGGTTAGGAGAAAAAAAAGATGAGAATATATGGCAGGCACAGCTCTTCTTATCTTTTCTCTAACCTTGTTCCAAATCCATCTCCTCAGCCTTTCTTTGGAAAGACCATCTCCAAGAAGGAAAGAAAAAGCACCCTTCTAAGGAAAGAACTAGATTGTTAACATGAAGCACCTGTTCTGGGACTGCTTTCTATGTCAACTTCTTCCTTAGTTTTCATCAATGGCTGTACACATATGGATTAGCAACCACCTCAAAATCTGGACTTGCTTTTCCTTTAAACTTCTAACATCTTGGTCTTGAGAGTGTAGGCAGATTGGATTGCATCCAACCTCTCCTTTTATCCCTCTTCTCCTGAAATGTAGGTGCAATTTTTTGCTGTATTTTGTTTATGAGTAATAGTCCCAACTGTGGCTGTCTACCATTGCTCTCACACCACAGATACCAGTAAAACATGCTCCCTCTTCACTATCTCTACCTTGCTGTCACTAAACTACTTAAGCATCTGGTTTTGCTGGGTTTTTTAAATCCAAGCCCTCCTTATGCTTCCCTGCCTTCACAACTCCAGAGTTTCCTCTTCTCTTTCTACCCTCTAGGACCACTGAGGTTATATTTCTCTGTCTTTCCCTGATACCACCTGTGCAAGACTAGAGATTGCATCTTTCTTTTCCCAAATATTATAGATCTTCCTATCTATCCCCCTTCCTAAGGGGAAAATCAAGACATGAGCAAGAAAGGTCCAACATCCCTTAGAGACTAGGTACAAGATGAAAGGAAGGCCAGACTCCCTTCATAGCACTGACCATGCACATTTGTTGCTCACAGGCAGAGAGGATGTAAGTGGAGGATGGACAACAAATTGTGTGAGGAACCTGTTTGATTCATTGAAATGTGTATGCTGGGAAAGTCTCATATATTCTCATAATTCTTATAGCCTGGGCTGTTTGATAACTATACATTGACTGGCAGTTTGCTTTGTGTTTGTTTTCATTCAACAGGGGGTATTTTAATGATTCTGAGACTTGCAAGGAATGCAGTGAATCCTGTAAGACATGCATGGGAAGTGCATCCAAATGCCTGTCCTGTAAAAGTTCTTTGCTTCTGGAACACGGGGAATGTAAAACTACCTGTTCAGAGAAGCATTTTGCCTCTGAAGGAATCTGCAAACACTGCCCTGAAATGTGTCAGGAATGCATTCACAACGAAATATGCAAAGGTATTATAAAGAACTGGTCTTGACTTGGCTAAAATCCACCTGACTCTGTCTAGAGACAGACTGACAGAAACACAGATCTGAATTCTGTAATGAGCAAAAATAATAAAAAAAAAAAGATATGTATATATCATTGCTAAACTCTAAGATATTTTCATTGCTAACCTCTAAGATATTTTCACTGCTAACCTCTAAGATAGAGGCTAAGCAATCAGCGCTTTGTGATAAGACTCAGTTTAAACCATTAATCTGTAAAGATTTCACATTGCTTTGCCTGTTCCTGTTAACCTTTGGAGATTCCTACGGGTTTGATTCTATTTCTGACCTAGTGTATCCATGCCAGAACATTTGCATTCACCAATGTGAAATACAGAACGTTCCTTTCCTAGTCTGGTTGAACTTTACATGTGTTCACCATTTTTGCAAATGAATATTCATGGTAGAGAATGAAATCTCTGTAATGAAATGTATTAGGAAAGCCTTGGATATCCTGGTAAGTCTGAATGCCCCCATGAAGATTTCCAGGATAGTTAATGTTGAGCAAGCCATTCTAGAAACATAACCATGGATGAAAAAAAAAATCATGAACAAAACTATTGAAACAAATACTCATAGTAAAATTAGCAGCTGAATCCCAGCTTTATGCAAAGACAAACATTTAGGTCTATATATTCCAGCCAGACTCATATTTTAATAATAAACCAAACAAAACTTCAGATGTGGACATCCCTGATTTTGCAGAAAGTTCATAATGCAGATATAATATCTCAGCAGAAGTCTACTTTTATTCAATGGCAGCACAGTTTGGCAAAGCTGAACAGGTGACTTGGCCTCTCAGTCTCTTGGTGTAACACAGAAGATGCTATGGGAGCGTTGGGCCATTATGGGCAGTCTGGAGGGGCAAGAGTCGAAAAAGAAAGCATTACCTTCCCAAGCTGACCTCTTACATCCTGTTTTGACACGCACTGCAGGATTTATGGTTTCCTAGGATTTCTTCACTCACTCTTGACTCACAGAGGTCAGAATTCACTGCCCATTTGCTTACCTGTTGTTTGCTGTCCTCTCTAGAATGCATGGACGAGTTCTTCCTGCATGAGGGGAAGTGTGTGCAGGACTGCCCTTCTCACTTCTACGCTGAAGACAAGCACTGCTTTCCCTGCCATGCAGACTGCAAGGATTGTAATGGGCCGGACTCAGACGACTGCACTGCGTGCAGCATCTACTACTTTGTCCTCTACAGTGGTGTGTGTTTTGAGGAGTGCCCTGAAGGGACATACTATGAAAAAGCCACTGAAGACTGTCAAGGTTGGCAGCTGTTTTTTTTCCCCAGAACGGTATTGAGGTACAAGTGGGTCTCATTAAAATCTGCCCCAAAAGGGCCTGCATCTGCCAGCTAATGTCGCTATTAGCGTCCTGGAATCAGATGAGATAGCTAATGCAGAAAAGTAACAAGGCATAGCTTAGAACAGCAAAAATTGGAGAAAATCAGGAGGGAGGTAGCAAAGCTAGATGTGTTTAATATTATGGGCAACCACCCTGGTAAAGTGCTGAGCATTGCTGGAGACAGTAGCATTGAGAACCCATGCTCAGCAAAAGCAGTGCCCGTGCAAAAGGAAATCTAAGGATTATGCATTAACCTGCATTATGATTGAAAATAGCAAAATGTTTGACTACACAGAGGCAGAGCTATTGCTCTGTTTCCATCAGCCTCTCATCCTGAGATGATGGCTGCTCCTTGCAAAATTAAAGCTGAAATAATGATCTGAAATGCAATAAGAATGGTGACATTCCTACTGTTTGTCCATTTCAGCATGCAATAGGACATGCCAGACTTGTTCTTCTTCCACTGCCTGCCTTACTTGCAGAAATGGCCTGATGCTGAACCATGACGGGCTCTGTGTGGCATCTGGATACTGCTCTCACACTGAGTACTATGCTGAGAAAACTCAGACTTGCCAGTCTTGTCATAAGAAATGCCTCCACTGCTCAGGACCCACTGAACACCAGTGCCTTAGCTGCGCGAATAAACACTATCTTCTCAGTAAGTCTCTGGCTCCTGCCTCTATATTTTATTTTACACTGAAAGCATGAAATAGGCAAGTTTCCGTCACATTGATGAAACACCTAGGGCTGCTTCAGACAGTTTAAACATTGCAAAGTTGACCTGACAAGTCAATAACCTGTGCAGAGGTAATTACATCTGCAGGGCTACCTGGAAACTTTGTGAGACTGGGCTTGCCACTCCCTGGGCCAAAGCAGGACTTCTAAGTAGCAACAAACTCCATGGCTAAACAAAACTTGTATGTTTCATTTACTTGGTATGTACTGTTCCTGTTCTTTCCCACAAAGAACTTAAAGGGGCAAGAAGGACACCCCTAGCTTTTTAGCACAAAGAACTCTCATTTTCATGCTCGCTTGTTTAATTCCTGCAGAGATCTGATGAGCAAAGAAATACTTAAGCAGAGCTGTTAAAAAGTTGTTCATGGATCACTAGGTCAGTATCTAGTGGATGGCTGAGGTGCAAAACTACTGACTTTGGAGCAAAAGACTGTATTGTCTCAGAAAAAAGTTGGTAAAAAGTATAAAATCCCAGGACTTAAACTTTACTTCTTTGCATATTCTTTAAAAAGCAAACAAAATTTTTGACAATCATAGGGAGAAAAAAATTAGTACAATGATCTTTCATGCAGGAGAAATCTAGAGAGAGTTTGAATTAAAACTGAATGTGAGCTTTTTGATTCTAATTCTGATGCAGATTTTGCATTCTTACATTTCTGACGTCTTACATCAGACTTGTCTTTTTTATCAACGCACTCAGCTGCTTTGCACCATTACAATTGGTAAAGTTGATGGAAGTATATAAATAAACATCCTGGAGTGGAGAAAGAATTGCAAGACAAATAGGAATAAGAAGTGTCTTCCTTTGCCCAGTTGCAACCCAAGCAGCAAAACTATAAAGACAAGGTAGATAATGAGTAGCAGCTACTAATGAGTAATCAGTGCTCTCTTAGCTTGACGTGCTTGGGATTAGTTATACCAGCTGCACTTCTCATTCAATATTCCTATTCTAATGATCCTCTGAAACCTCAATGAAAAAGTGGGATGTACCTGGTACCTTTGGCAGCATTACAGGCATTTATTCCCATAACATAAGGCAGCAGCCACAGACAGGGGTAAAGACCAATGAACAAATGTCATTAAATCTGAACTTTACCGTCAGATTCATCATACATACAGAATGCAGTGAGGTTGATGCTTAGAGTAAAACCTAAGGAAAATGTTGATGCAGACAGAAAGTCTTGTGATTACTGTTTCATTTTTTTGTGTATTCTGAAAGAAAACACAGCTGCTGTTCATTATTATGTATTACACATTTATATTTCCCAAAGATAAAATACTATCTGTTCTGAAGAGCCTGCTAACGTACATAAAGTGCAGAAATAAGGACTAATGAACTGACAAGACTTAGAAGAAACAAAAAATAATTACTGTAACCCAACATTCTCTTTTCTTGCTCTGGTACATGCTCTAACAGCATCTCCTGTTAGAGAATTTGTTCTAGCACAGCTAGAAGAGGTATGAGATGTTTTATAGCAGCAAATACTGAATATGATGTATTATTTTGCATTGTCATCCATGCAGATGCAACCTGTGTTGAAACGTGCCCGGATGGGTATTATATTGACAGCGATGAGGGACAATGTTCCCCATGCCACAGCGCCTGTGCCACTTGCACTGGAAAACATAGCTCGCAGTGCCTTTCCTGCAAACCGGGCTGGTACAGACAAGGAAAAGGATGTGTAAACCAGTGTCCAGCAGGGTAAGGTGCAAGATATTTATCTGAGAGCTACACACAGAGAGAGCTTTAAGCAATTATATCACTCTGCCCTAGTCTACTTCAGAGTGAAATAGAACTCAGTTCTACATTCAGGTGAAAAATTCTCATGTTGTCCCAGTACAGAGGTGGTGGAAAACCTCTCCTCATAGTAGAAAACTGTAAAGTTGGTGCCCAAATTGGGACCAGCTTGATGTGGTGTCGCTATTCTCACACTCCGAGGATGCTTCAAGGTTATGTTTGTAGAGAACAGTGTGAAGCAGAATAAATGTACCAAGTTATTTGCTAGACAGCTTGAGCACGTGAAGTGGTGAAATGTCCTTCAAGCACCCTTCCAGCCTCCATTTAACCAGAAGTTTGGATGATGTTACTTTTGTTTTGCATTGAGTGAATGTTTATAATGGGTCACAATAAAACCAACCATTAAAACACCTTTCAACTGAGGACTCAGAATTCTGGACAGCAACTTCATTAACATGAGTCCATTTAATTTCAAAATGTGAATTCAGTGTGCTCCTGTGAATATGCCCCAGAAATTCAAGTTTGGGAAGTGGACCTACAATTTCTGGTTCAGGTCCATTTCATTTGGCAGTACTGTACAATCAAGCTGGCTGTTAAGCTGAATTATCATCCCTTAAATTGCAAGTCTGTAATGACCACATCTCAACAAAACCACAGTGCAACAATTCTTTTTCCCTGGCAGCACAACCTAGTTGAACACTGTTCCTCTGCTGGCATTCTTTGGCTAAGCCTGTTTGTGCACTGAAAGGAAAATTTCTGAATTTTCATTTGACAGCAGGTCATCAGGAGCAGTGAGGAATTCAGTGCTTACCCAACATCTCCAGGATATCTCTGCAGGGCCAAAACAGAGTTGAGCTTTTCTGAGCCCTGCCTATTTATATACTTACTTTATGTCTGAATTCAACCTAGATTTTTAGAAAGCCTTGCTTTATACACCCTTAATTTACAGAGTCTTGCTTTATAGCTGAACTCCAATGGCCATGGGGAATTAAAGGAAATTAATTCTATTTCCACCGAGATTGCAAATGCTTACTGTGATCACATCAATATAACTTTTATACATTTATGCAATCAAAGTAAAAACTAACGATGAAGGATGTTTGAGGTTTCCTCTAACTGCAGGGCTTTATGCAAAGCCATGACTATCTGATCTGTTTCAGGTATTTTGCACAAAACTCCACTGGCTCATGTGAGAGGTGCCACAAGGGCTGTAAGGAGTGCATGGGGCCCCAACCCACAGACTGCCTTTTCTGTGACACGTATTTCTACCTGTTGCGCTCCAAGAACCAATGCGTTAGCTCTTGTCCTGAATATTACTACGAAAGCAAGGACAACAATGTCTGTGAAAGATGCCACCCTTCCTGCCGAACTTGTGAAGGTAAAAGCTCTGCTTTGACCAAAAAAAGGGTCATGAAAACACCTGCCAACTCTTTGATTTCTTTTTACTCTCTGCTCCAAGACTTGGAAACACTTCACAAAGACACGTACCACATAGAGTGCTACCAACCTGCTCATGACCTAAGGGGTCGCAGTGGGTGATGCAGATTTCGCCCAGGGCAGCAGCGCTTTCCCTGGCCCTGCGTGAGGTGCTGTGCTGGTTGCTCCATGCCACCACCTTACTTTCAGAGTATTGACTGATCAAGATCAAAGCAAGGATATGAATTCCTGCCAAGCTCCCCACAGGGCTGCCTCCAGCCACAGAGCGCAAGCGTGAAGGCAGCCGCTCACGGGGAGGGCTGGGAGCGAGTCCCACTGCCACATCAGTGAAGGGAAACAAACTGACAACGGTAATGAAGTTTCCATCAGTCAGCCAGGCCTCTCACAAAGATGCTCACCAACTTCAAAAAAAAAAGAAAAGGGGCTCTGGCGGTTAGAGCTAGGCCTCATTTCTCACACAACCACTGAAAAATGACTGAATAATATCTGCCTCTTTGAGCTGTCCTACCATGTGTTACTCTGTGAAAGCCATGGAACCTAAATTCAACCACACATTTTTACAGGGAAGAAGAGAAAATCAACAGCTAACAACACTTAATATAACAACAAGGCCATAAAGCATATCTGTAGGGTGAAAAGTAAAACAAAACAAAAGAGCAGTGATGTCTGCTGCTTTTAATATAGTTAAGTATTTTTCAAAGTTAACTTTGAGAGACCATCTGTTTTGTTCTGTGACACACTTATGTACTCAGTTTCTTCTTTTTCCTAATTCATCCAGTTCTGAAGCAAGCAACATTAATCCCCTTGGACCCATTTGGTGTCCTATTCTATCTGAAGAGCATCACATGATAGCTAACAGGTGTTACTGCAGCTTAGACCACACCACATCGTAACACAAAATTTTTTGGGGGTAGTGGATAAATTGGGTAGCACAGATGGTTAATTGCAACATAACAACATTTAAAGTTTTGGAAACAACTCTTAGAGTGAAGGCACCTTCAAGAACTATTAAAATGTAATTGTATAACAACATTATAAGAAGTAACAGAAATATTTTGGCTTGGATTTGGGACAGAAAGATAGCCATTTTAATTTACAGACTATTTCCATTGATTTTTCCTTTATTTGGGATCAATACTACAGGACAGATTTTCTGTCATAATTACATAGACACTAAGATAAAACACAAGCCAGTCCTGAACAGCAAACCTGTAGGTGTTCTGAAATGCATCTGCATTGCTGATATACGAGCAAAGAAGTATTGTGGTGTCTTGTTTCTTAAGAGCAGGAAGGCAAACCCTACACTGCTCAGAAAAATCACATCGTAAATTCAATTTCTTTGGTGGCAGTGGTCAGTATAATTTTTAAAGAAAGCTAGATAACAATTTTCCTGTTGTAATATTGTTGTTTTATTTGCCTTTCTAGGGAAGGGAGCATTCAGCTGCACATCTTGTGTATGGAGCTACAGTTTGTCAGGTGGAATGTGCAACTCAGACTGTTTTGTAGGTGAATACAAAGTCCAAGAGACACCAGGACAAGAGGTACCTATTTGTAGGCATTTTCTCCTGTGATTTGTACGCTGAACTTTAACTTCTGAACACAATACAAACAACACAGAATGCTCTTCTCTGAGTTTTCAAGGCCACTTATCTTTAAATAAGCTTACTTTTTTCTTCTCTTGGCAGAGGAAACGTTGTTTCTCTTTCTGGGGCTGTCTACTTATAGACTAGTCCTCTACCAGTAATTATAAAGGCACAACTTTGTCAACGATGATACCAAAGCCATGTGAACAAAATCAGCTGTATTAGTTATAGAGCTTTTTTTTCTTTTCTTCCAGTATAACTGAAATTTCCCCACGGATTTCTGCTGCTTTGTCTGTAAGAAATCACATTGCATTCCTGATTGACAGCTCTGCTGGCAGAAACCTCTAGTGGAGAGACAGGCTGAAGTTAACAGAGCTGTATATTTAGTAGAGTAGCACCACAATTAGGTTTGGGCCTGTGCCACAAGTCTGGGCACTCCAGCTTCCAGATTTCCACACCAATTGCCTTCCAAAGATGTTTATTCAAGAATCTAGCAGCAAGGCAAGCCAGCTGGCCTGAGGTGCTGCATACCCCGGAGTCTCTGGCCTGGAATATCCCCTCAGAAGTGCTGCTCTGTAACTCTGAGCCTGAGAAAACAGCCTAAGAGCTGGGGACCACAGAGAGGTCTGCAGTTCTTTGCAAGAGCTTTGACTCTAAGAAACTGGACCTCCCGCCATGACCCTCCCATCTTGCCCAGGTTCTTCAATTCAGGACAAGCAGCCTCGCAGGTCTGACAAGCAGGTTTGATAAAAGGTTATTGGAGTTTCCAGATCCTCACAGTGGGTATGGGGTCCTAGTCCCATAGCAGAAAAATAGTAATTTTTTCCAATAGACCAGGAACTGCGAACACTGGAAGCCCTGAATTACCTGATCTCAAAGCATTCTGCAAGGCAGGTGTGACAATGATGATCTCTGGTAGTCTTTGTACACAGAGGGTCCCAGGAACCAATCTGGAATTTGAGAAGTATATTTGAATCTAAGCTGTTTCTGTAAAGCAGAACTAACAGGATCTAATAAAAATCTGGCTTGCTAGAAAATTTCCAGCCAGCTTTATTCTTTATTTCTGCTCCTTCCCAAGTTAGAAAGGAAATTCATTCTCTCAGCTGCCTTTTCTTTTTTCCAGAATATTTCATGTTGCTCCTCCCATGCCAGTTACTTTTAATCATTCTCTTGAGTACACTTCTCAAAGGCCACTTTACCATCATTACTGCCAAAAAACCATAGATCTGCCAGTGTGGGACTAGCAAAACAAAAACACACTTTCTGGCCAAAGAGATTCAGATTCTAAATCTGAATGAATTTTAGCTTGCTGTCTAGCTAGGTGAGATCTCTAACTAAGCTCCCTCAACAGTTTCTCCCCTCTCCTTACAAGAAGATCACTGAGAACCCGGGAAATATGAACAAAATTTTAGTTTTCCTATTCCCCATGGTATTTTGCCACTGATACCTGCGGTGCCCAGAGGTGACCACCCAGAGAGTGAATGACAGGACAGAACTGCTGGATCAGGTCCAAAGAAACCCAAATGAAAGGTGCATTGCTTGTGTTCTGTGTTTGAAGGGGGACAAGTCCAAGTGTGACAAATGTGACAGCTCATGCACTGAGTGCAAAGGACCTGGTCCTCTCAACTGCACCGTCTGTCCAGCCAGCATGCAGCTCTACCTGGAGGAGAGCCGCTGCCTGCCCTGCTGCCATGGCTCTGATCTGGCAGGCACCCCGGAGTGCTGCGACTGCAGTGAAACCCAAGGTAGGAGCCTGCTGAAGGGCTTTATGTCTGACATTTGAAAATTAAAAAGGGGAATGGAGCAAAAACACGCTGCCAAGCTGCAGGCACACGGTGTGTTTCTACTGCTCCATCACCGGAGCAGGAAGGGCTTTACGCAAACAGCAGTGATCGCAACTGCTGCGGGACATGGCACCTTCTTTCACTCACAGCTGTTGTGTTAAATGGACAGGTATTTCATGAACCAGGTGGCTGGGAAGTGTTTGTTTCAATGGGCAGCCAGCTGAATCACTGTATTTTAAGCTCATCATGTCAAAATGCGTTTGCATGCCTGTTAGCTTTTCTGTTTCTTTCTGATTATTGCTAATCTCATAAAGAAGCACAGCTATCCCAGCAACCTCGCTTACATCTTTATACCATCACAGCTACAAAAACACACTTGTGGTACTTAAGAGTACTGTATTTAGTCAAACGCATGTGAAAATGTCAGTAGGCCTAAATGTTGTTCTGGTGGGTTTTTTTACAACAAATACCCCACCACCATATACACGTGCATGCGCTCATTTAGTGTTTTTTTTAACTGTTGCTGTAGATGACTGTGTATTACGGACCACTCTACCACCTGAGAGCAAAAGCAAAACTACTTTCTTTGTTATTACCTGCATTTTGCTTCTCCTTGTCATTGGAGCCATTGTATTCATCTGGAGAAAATCACGAGCCAAAACCCAGGCTGTCAGCAAAGGTGGGTATGAGAAGCTGGCAAACCACTCCAAAAGCCTTCCTTCCTACTTGAGCAACTACCACGACAGTCCCAGTTATCAGGAAGATCAAGTGATTGAGTATAGAGATCGAGATAATGATGATGATGATGAAGAAGATGACATTGTATATATGGGCCAGGATGGCACAGTCTATCGCAAATTTAGATACGGACTTTTGGAGGATGATGAGGAAGATGAGCTTGAATATGATGATGAAAGTTATTCATTTAGATAACTCTCTATTAATTTATGAATTTCCTGTTCTGTGGTTTTTCCTATTAAATTACAGCAATTTAGTAAAGTATGTTTAGTTACTTCTTAGCATGCTGAGCTCAAGATTTTAGCTAACAATTATTATGAGAGCAGAATGGTTTCTAAAAACATTTTTCCTAAAGCTTTACATAAATCCTCGCTAGGCTTTTAAATAGCACTCCAGATGTAGGCTGGCTAAGAGATTATGTTTGTGTGGAGAGTAAATCCTTTCCCAATATGTATTTGTGTGCATTATAACTAATACAAACTCTGCTTCAAACCATGCACGCACACTTACTGAGAACCTTGCCAATCACTAGTAGAAATATGCAGATACAGGCAAAGGGGGTGTATTTATCTACCTGACGAATGCCACTGGTATAGAGTGCCAGTAGTTTACTATTTTGTGATTATAGTTACTCAACAGTTCATAATAGAATAGGCAAGTTTGCTGACTTTACCCAGACTTTCTTCATTGCTATCATCTGGCACATCCATGTTCCTGGAAGCCAACACATTCCTCCCCTATAATCTTATAGCATACTTCCCAGTAAAATTGTGCATCTATGACATGATGTTTTACGATTTCTGATTGTGACTCTGCTCTAGGTAACTATATGATATTCACAGTTTGTATGAAACATAACTAAAATATTTCATATATCAACCTGTGATTAATCTTTATGTGGTGTTTGTCAAATAATCTTCCATTGTACACACTAACTTCTGGGTTTACTGCAAAGGGAAACACAGTCTACAAGCACACCTACAAAAAAAGGACTCCTTTCGTCTTTCTAACTACCTTCTCAGTGATTTAAACACAGAACATTTACTCAAGCAGCTTTTCAATTTCTGTTGTGAATGCCTGGGGATGTTCAGACAATGGCAAAGGGGATAATTGGCACTCACTTGGAAACGTAACTTAAAGGAACACAGCAATGTAATTTTTTTTATTATTATTACACAAATATAATTTATGATACTAAAGAAAAGGATGCTCTTCATGGCCTTTTGTTGTGAAAGAATAAATTCTTTGCACAAAACTGTCTTGAAAATGCTGTTATTTGTCAAGTTTCATTCATTCTCATAGTTCCTTTAGATTTCCAGCAAGAATCCACTTTAGAACTATAAATCAATTGATTAGGTTTAGTCTCTACAAAGGAATTGTGTGAAAATACCTAATTTTTATGGCTCAATACCTTAGTGGATTTTTCATATTAAGTACTCACACCATTTCAGCCACGTTTTGAGTTATCAGCTGCATATTCTTTCACTTCTGATTATTCCTGCTCTGCAGCCTGACACTTCCCTTCTGGCTTTCTGAGCTTGTCACGTGCAGTCAGGGATCCTCGATGTCAAAAGCACAAGGGGACTTCCTTGTAGTGCTAAAGCTGAACAGGCAGAGCGGAGACAACATTTGACAGAGGAGAAGCAGTACTGTTAAATTCCCTCCACCCAAATAAGCAGTGCTTTTTGGGAGGGATTCAAATGACTGCTCAAATGATAAGGCTGTGCTTAAGAGGTGGCAGCACACATGCAGCAGCACGCACAATTTTACGCTGCATGGGTATGGTGACAAGGCGCATGTCTTACACAACGGCAGATAATTGCCTTGGAGGTGAACCAGTCTTAGGAGAGCAGTAAATAATTGATGAATGAAGTTAGAAGGGTATGATATGAGGGAAGAGAATCACATTCAAGGTTATTACATTTTTAAAGGAGAAGTTTCAAAACAGTGGCGTAGGACACCAAAACTTAGTGACCCGCCGAGCCATATCACTTTTACAGTGTTCACAGTTAAAACTCCCTGCTAAGAGTCCACAGGGAGACCAAGAAAAAAAAAAAAGTTTAACAGTTAACTGGCACAAGAGAAAATCATTCATGAGTCACTCCCATTTCTAAAGAAACTTTGTGGAAAACCAAGTGCAATTAAGGAAGCCAGTAACAAACATACCAAGAACACAGCACACAACGGAAATACTGCTTTTCTGGATTATTTTATGGACTCTAGTGTCTAAGCCCTTTACACTCTGTCCTGAAAAAAAGCTAGAAAAATTCAAATCCACAATTATTCAATTCCACAAATCATTCATTGCCACAAAGCCAATTCTTCTCCTTTCTCCTGCCTTCTCCTCCACTCACCATAATAGGAAAGAAGTGCCAAAACAAAAACAAAGCTGCTATGGGATCTCTTCCATTCAACTGTTCTGTAGTTAGTTTTCTTTTAATTAGCCTTAAATTCTTGTTATCTTTGGCAAATTTCTCTCACCCTCTCACTTCTCAAGCTTTTTTCCTTCTCAAGGCCCTTCCTTTCCCCTGCATCTCTTTCTTTGCTACACTCATTCATCCATGGAGTTTCCAAAGTCCTTCCGTCTTCACCAATTACTTTCATTTTCTCTACCCTTCTCCTAGGGAAATCTCTCTCATTACCCTTTCGGTAGGAAAGCTGTTTCAAAAAGATCTCATAGAAGTCACATCTACATAGTTTTACCACCCACTTACCTCCCACGTAATCCAGTAATTTGATTTCAAAGGAAAGTGTAGGTTACCAGTGTTCTTTACCCCCTCTTTCCACAGAGTGTATGTAAATAGAGAAAAAAATTCTCTTCCGTAACTCTACCCTGAAGCTTTGCTAGAAAGGAGGAGAAAGTAGATTGTAGGAGTTACATTTCAAGTGTCTTGAAGCCCAAGACTCCTTCCTCTACAGGCTATTCCCCAATCAGACTACATTTTCACAGTATACCATGTATTTGCCTCTGGGTCTTGTGTAACTGCAGGACTTCTTTCTGGCTGAGGACTCGGACTGAAATTTCAAACCAAAGATAGGAATGAAAATACAATAAACTTAATTGCAGAAGTTACCACGGAAGCCAAGCCTTTCAAATGGGTATTTTGAGGCAATTGGTTTTCTCATGAGACATAATGCATGTTTCAAGAGAAATATATATTTTTGCATTAAAAATATTTTCTTAGCAATCAAATTTCCCACTTTAAGAGTTACTTATAGAAAAATTCGGAATATTCTTAGTAAGCCACTATTTTACCTAGGTCACCTATGTTAGTTTGAGTCCCTGTTGTGGTGGGGGCAGGAAGGAGGCAGAAGAATATCTTTCAGAGTAGACCACAACTATTGATTTTCCATCTCCCCTCAACCTCTTATGTGTTCAGGTTTCAAGCCTGAACTTTAAGGAGTAACCAGCTATTCATCCTGATGAGGAACAGAAAGATATTCTGACTAAGGGTTAAAAAGCACTTTTGAACAGAAAGACTTTAAGAAGATTTTCCACTTTTTTTTTTTTTTTTCTAATGAGTACATATATACAACAATAATAAGCTACCATAACAAACAATGATTAAAGATTCTGACTGTATACCAACATACTTGCAATGAACTAGATACATTTATAGGTGTTAAGATGCAAAATTAATAGGAGACATATGCACACATAACTTCTATTCTCCTTTCAAGGTAGGTACCATATGTTCCTACTTAATTGGTTGCTTCCTACTGCTCAGAAACATCTAGGAAGTTGCCTAACTCATGTTGGCTGATTTTAACATCTCTCTTGTGATTTTATTAATTGTTAACAAGATAAAAGACAATTTTCCTGTTGGAAAAGATATATTACAATGTAGTCAGTAATTATGACTTTTTACCCCTCCATCATCCGTTTTCAGATTTAGGTTTACTCTGGAGTAAAGGACCTTAACAAACAAAACAGATGCACTAATCATCTCATTGCATGATTTCACAGGTTTATATTACCCATTTAATTGAATAGTAAAAATGGAAATTAGTATTCTTTTATTCTTACTCATTTATATTGTCTATGTAGCATCTAGATAAGCACATTTTTAGGAAGAGTTTAGGTGCTACAGTTACCTAATAACCATTACACTAAATAGTTCTTGCTCCCCTTTTTTTTTTCTTGTGTTCCTCCATCCTTGCTCAATGTACATCACATCTAAAATCCTCATCCAATTATTTTTCTGTATTTTCTCCTCCTTCTTGTCACCTAGCATTATCTTCATTTCCCAGTTCTTTTTTTTTCTGATGCAAAAACCTAATATTGTCACTTACGTATCTCATTAGTAAAAAAGAAAGCCAAATATAAACCTTAATGTATTCATTGCACTGAATTCTACATTCTTTCACTGACAAATCTTGGCATTATGGAAAAGCAAGCTAATCATAACCTCAGAACAAACTGAAAAAAGATGCTAAGCACTTTGCTACTCTGAGCCACAAAAAAGAAAGCCAAATTAAGTTCTCAGTCATTAGAGAAGATCATTATATAAAGTCCTAAGTTATGTAGTTAATTATCTATTAACTGTCATTGTCTGCAATGTTTATAACATTCAGCATGCTTAAAAACATAAATAAGCCACAAGTCTATTCAAATACTCCCCTGGAGAAACAGATAATGCAAGTTCTCTAACCATCACACTAGCAAGTAGGGCCTTCCATTTATAATTTCTCTTACATCTTTCTTCTCCCTTCAGAAAAATACAGGAAAATTAGGGGAAAATATTATAGCCCTATATAGACTGTATTTATTACAAAATAAATTTGAAGGCAATTTGGTGTAATTTTTTTTTTAATATCATGTCATTTCCAGAATGGAAACTAGTAAAATATCTGAATTCTTGGAAATTAGAGCACTTGAGTGTTAAACAGAAACCTGAAGAACATAGGTGCTTGAGGATTTAACTTAAATCCATGGACGCTGTGCTGTTAGAACAGCATGATCTGTGACAAATATCAAAGTACACTGAAGACCCCACTGCATTTAACACAAAAAGCAATCCCTACGGCATACCCACACCACCACATTATGTTACACTCTTCCCTGATGCAACATTAGGGATACCACATTGGGGTTACATAAAGGTCTACATACAAACAGTGTGAAAGTATGAGAGGAACTTTTCCCCAAGACGCCTGAGCCAGATTAATGTGTTTCAAGATACGGGTTTGATTCA